CAAAAAAAAAAACCAGAACCTTACGGCTCTGGCTCCTTTTCCATTCTGGGGCGCATCAGTCCGGTTCTTATTCCACCGCCGCATCAGGGAGGATTACAAACTGACATGCACACGCTCCTTCCCTTTATGGTAGGAAGGCCCAAGGGACCGCGTTGATTACCCCCCTGGAGGGATGGATGTACCACCGCTACCTAAGTTACTCTTACCCCTGCCTAAGTTAGTAGATCAAGCTTTGCTTTTTTAACTTTTTTATTCTGGCCTGGTGCCTAGGCAAGATCATGTAACTTGTGTACTTGGTTGGGCTCCTTCCAACCTGCTCCTCTCAGTTCCTTGACTGTCAGATTCTCGTTGTATGCTAGAACTGCTGAATGACCATATTATGAAGTAGACTATGCTACCCCCCCCCAAAAAAAAACCTGAAATCCTAAATTGCGGCGATGGTTCGCAAAACTCTTAGCTCTAGCTGCCCTGTCTTCGTGTGAAAGCCTAATTCGTCTCTGCTTGGGTTAAATGTTCGTCACTGGCGTTCTAAGGGGAAGGTACTACCGCTCGCCGCTCGCAATTTTTTTGTCTTTTTAAAGTTTAAACAGATCCGATTGACATTCCTGTTAAATGGGTCCTACTCCTAGGTGGGTCTAGGGATTGTGGAGGGGGGTTCGCTTGTTACATGCCTCCGTGGACCGAAAAGGATTTCTATTCTGGGAGGTTGTTGCTAATTTTTTTTTTTTTTTGCCTTTTGCAGAATGCCTCCGCAGTCTTCTGCTTATCCGCTATATATTCTTCTCTATTTTTTTCTTGCGCACTTTCTTCTTCCCCGCCCTCTATATTCTACCCCTCTATTATCTGTACGACTCCTTCCCCGGCTTCCCGTAATGACATTTTTTGGGGTCTGGTCCACATCGTCGCTTGCCATCTTCTCTTCCGAACCGAATCATCCATAAATAATGTCGCTAATCTGAGGTTGTGAAAACAGGGGTTTTCAACTTTTCGCGACTTTGTGCGTAGGCCTGCCTGCCTTCTTCCCCCGGACATAACGCATATGCGTTGTAAACGAGTGCAACACGTAGGGTGCGATCTTATTCGAATACAACGCATATGTGTTCTATTCGAATAGCCCTAAATTTCCAATACAACACATATGCGTTCTATTCGTGTTTTTTTTTTTCAAATTTGAAAACTCGAATACAACGCATATGCGTTATGTTCGGGGGAAGAAGGTAGCAGAAGGGTGATCTGATCCATGGGCAAGGTTTTGTTAGCGATTGTGAGCCAGAGTGTTTCGAGGAGTTAGTCCAGAGTTGTGCGGCTTTTCGGCAATGCAGTAGGGACTGTGATCTATGATTCTGTGTCCTCCACAAGACCTTCTGGGCATTTCGCACACAGGAGCTACTGTAGCATGGATCTGAGTTGAGAGCATTCCTTCTTTTATTTTTTCACAAATTTTCACAAATTTTCAGCCACTTGTTGACTGGTAAAGCCAGGTGGGCGAGTAGCCACTGAGAGCTTCTGATTTTTATTTATTTATTTATTTATTTATTTATTTATTTATTTATTTATGTATTTATATATTTATGTTGTCGTTGCAAAACAGGACCTTATGGTCCTGGCTGCATATCCATTCTGGGGAGCATCATTGACGTAACTCTGGTTCCTTTTCCACCGGCAAGTCAGGGTAATACAAGAACATACATACACACGCTTCCTTCCGTCTGGCTGAAGGAACCCTGAACAGCGTTGATTGCTCCATCGTCGTGGAAGATTGACTGTCAGCTTGTGTTTATAGTACTTTATACCCAGTGTCCTCTCAGCTAGGGTATACCCTGGCTGTCGGGTGAAAGCTTCTGATTTGAACGGGGTTGATGGCTAGAAATTCCAGTCCAGGGAATCGGCGGGGTGCAGTTTTGGGGCAAATGAAACTGAGTCTCTATTCTGAGTCTTCCTGTTCTCAGTTTTTTCCATGCCCATTCCGATGGATCGATTGCCAATGAAGCTGAAGGGTGATCTGATCCATTGGCAAGCTGAAGTTATGACGTTAGACGAGTGGACCAGGGCCAGGAAGAGAAGCTGCATTATTACGAGCTATTAGAAATAGTGGGGTAACGATCCTTAGCTTTATAAGAGACTTTACTCCTACTATATACCTCGTAACGGTTGTAGGCCTCCTAAAAAAAGACGCGTTTAAGTAGATGCACGAAAAGTAAGAAAAAAATTGAACATACAAATTGTTCAAATGATGATCGTAAGAGAAATAAGAGAGAGAAAACCATGGATATTTTTTTGGCAAAGCATGGGTGTGTGTGTGTGTGTGTGTGTGTGTGTGTGTGTGTGTGTGTGTGTGTGTGTGTGTGTGTGTGTGTG